TAGTCACATAACAATAACTTAGGGGTATTTAGTTATCATCTAAATTTTGAGCAATACTCCCCACATATGTATAACTTTTATGTTCTTTTTTACGTGTGCTTTTCTGAAATGAGGCAACTTAAAGTGGTTCACTTTTGCGTTAAGTTTTCTTATCTAGTTAGGCATATTAAGTTGAACTGAATTTCTCGCGCGTAACTTCAGATGTGTGTGTGTGTGTGTGCAGCGGTCCAAGTTGTCATACTTCCTAAAAGCTCACAAAAGTAAAATGAAGTGCGATGTATAAAAAGTGTAAACGTACGGGAGAAAAATTATGGGTGCATTGAGAACAATTATCATTTAATGAATCTGAAAGATCTTACAAAATCAGCCATTAAAAACGAATTTGAGCAATGCGACCAACAGTCTCTATTCTTCGAATCTGAGCGTCTCAAGCACCCCAGTCATACATACAGTTGACACTTTCCTACATGACAGCATATTGATCGAAATATTCATTTTCCAGTGGAACCATTTTGTTTCTATTTTACCGAGGGATATTCTGTAGGTGCTATCATGAACTTTCTGCTTGTCTGTCTGTTTTCGACATAGAACTTTCCATCGGTGTGCAGCACTTCAAGTCGCCACACTCCCTCCATGTAGCACACAAACCAAGAGAACAAAGTAGAAGAAATGCATAATAAAGACAGTAAACAGAGGTGTGAGACAAAGGAATAGTAATAACGAAGGACAATATAGTTTCATTGGGTATTATAAGTCACAAGGAGTGGATGCATCTGAGCCATCCATTGAGAACGATGAGTTTGAGCCATATCACCGATTGTCTCTAGCCTTCATTGGTTTTTATCGTCCAAAGGACCCCAACTAGTCAGGAAGTCAACACCTCCCTACGTGGTAGACTGACTTAAACTAACTGTTGTGGACTTCATTCACTGATGAAGCCATGTGTTGGTTTGACCGGCGCTGGTTCTTTTCCAGCCTGACCCTATGTCAGCTAACATTGCCCGTTGTCGAGGAAGGCGGCTTTCTGCTTAGTGATCTGTAAGCATCTTGAAACTTGAAACACTTATTTGTAATCAAATTATCAGGATATCATTCCTGTAGGGAATACATTTCCTAAAGTTATCTGATTTACTTTCATGCTCCTTGTAATTGTGTATGTCCTTCAACAGTATGACTGAAGCCCTGTGTTTCTCTAGGAACTCAAGAAAACAATAATAATATTCAACGGTGTGGAGTTGTGAATTAGATATGTGCGAGTGTACCCCTATCTCTGTGTCGTATTACTATAACGGTCACCTAATATTCAAATTATTGCAGTCTGATTGGCAGGTATACTTTTTCACAAATTTTTGTTTTATAGTTTGTGAGAAGGCTGAGGTATAGCCTGGTCGCTGGATCAAAGCAGGTGTTTATCTTAAGGGAATTCTCCTCCGCCCCAGCCTTTGATTTGAAGTCTGGTCCGGAAAATGGCAGAGCAACGTCAGGAGCTTCTTTCCCAAGGTTGTCAGTTTGTCTGTCATTCAGGAGGAAGACTACAGTCCACTGACCATTGGCGTTACTAGGTCATTTTCAGGAGCAACGCGTTTACTGGGGTGCTGTGAGAAAGGTTGTTGTATTTGCAACACGACTTCTTGGGTGGAGTCCGAGAGATAATTTGAGAGCGAAAGTAACAGGTGTACCTTTAAGTGTACTTGCTTTTTGTTTCTCTCCCCCACTTATTCTATTTTTACTCTCCACACTTTGTGGCTTTATTATTTTTGTGTGGTGCATTTCTTGGCACACGTATTATACCAAGCTTGTTTTTAAATAAGTAACAAATAATGTAATTAAAGAAATCCGAAAATTAGTGTGGGCTACTTTCAACCACTTTTTTCATCCAGTAGTCTTTGGGAGTTTCTGTGTTACACAAGTGGTATCTTTAATCACAGTTTCTCTTATGAATTAAACAGGAAGAACACTATGTTTAGCATTACTACGAATGTTTGGCATGCGAATCGCTCCCGCCAAATGTGAGGTGATGTTACAGGACTGAACTACACTGACTCCTGGTTTAGAAATAGTGCGAGAAGTAGTGGAGTGCGTTGACCGCTTCACTTATTCGGAAACTTGCATCAGCCAAAGCCAGTGGGTTGATCACTGACGAAATCTCAGCACGGATACAGATGGACAGTTTACGCCGTTTTTGGCCTAGACGTAATATCTGGCTGGCTACCAACCAAAGGGCGTGTGTACTGCTCAGCGGCAGTCCACTCCGTCCTCCTTTATGGTTGTGAGTTAGACATCAATGATAATTGGAAGTGGAAAATATGAAAAGGCCAGCCAGCTGTCTTTGATCATAGGTGTCTGCGTTCTATCTCCCATGTTAGGTGGTACAATAGGGTGAGCAATATTGAGGTTAGGCTTCGGTCGAGTGCTACATAATGCGGGGAAATCAATCGACGAGGCTGTGGAATTACATTGACCGAGATGGTTAGGACATGTGGTACACACGCATGCCTAGTCATAGCTTTCCTCTACGGGCAATGTTAGCTGACATAGGGTCAGGCCGGAAAAGAACCAGCGCCGGTCAAACCAACACATGGCTTCATCAGTGAATGAAATCCACAACAGTTAGTTTAAGCCAGTCTGCCACGTAGGGAGGTGTTGACTTCCTGACTAGTTGGGGTCCTTTGGACGGTAAAAACCAATGAAGGCTAGAGACAATCGGTGATATGGCTCAAACTCATCGTTCTCAATGGATGGCTCAGATGCATCCACTCCTTGTGACTTATAATACCCAATGAAACTATATTGTCCTTCGTTATTACTATTCCTTTGTCTCACACCTCTGTTTACTGTCTTTATTATGCATTTCTTCTACTTTGTTCTCTTGGTTTGTGTGCTACATGGAGGGAGTGTGGCGACTTGAAGTGCTGCACACCGATGGAAAGTTCTGTGCCGGAAACATACAGATTACTATGTCTCGTGGTCTAAGTAATCACATCAGTTAGAAGGTAATATAATTGGAAATAATATAATCAAAGCTCGTAGGTTACTGTAAGACAAAATAGGAAGGGATTAAGCAAATGAGAAAGTAAAACTTTATCACCAAGATATCCTAAAATCTGTAGTACTTCTATGCTACTGTGGTCAACTGTAACCAGTAACGTGACTTATATCAGTCATAAACTTCGTAGATTGGCAACATATTTGAGTGTAGGATTTCATCATGAGCTGACATTGGTTAGAGAACCATCGGAAAACCAACTGGGAGTACTGGACAGCTATTTCGTCAGCCTAGTTCGGGACTCTTCATCAGTACACACCCACCACAGGGGTTCGAACCCAGGACCTTCTGGTTACAAGTCGAGTTCATGGACCATTAAGCCATTGGGACCCTATCCAAATGGCCCATGAATTTTAACTTCTGCCAGTTCACGACATAGCGCAACCACTATCCAATGTCTTCGACTAGTATTTGTCCTCACACCCGCTACCCACTACCTCCTACTGGTCACAACTTCTCACTAGAATGCCAGGTAACTACCTAATTGAATAGGGCCAGTCGCCAGTGAGCATCTCATCGATATTCAATTGTTGGTTTGTAGGCGTCTGAAGAGTTCCAAATCAGGCTGATGAAACAGCTGTTCAGTACTCCCAGTTAGTTGATGATGAAATCCTGTAACCAATCAACCAAAATCCCTACAAACCAACAGTTGAATATTTTGGTGTGACTACCTTGCACTTTTATTTAACCTTATTGTACTTTTATCAACATAATACGCGGAGATAAGCATTTCGCATATTTCTAGGGAATAGTACAACCAAGTACAGGAGCTCAACGATACCATATTTGGCCCGTGTTCTAAGCGACAGAGACAATGTTAAGCGCGAAACCTATGACTTGTTTTGTTGTTAATAACATAATTTTGGCCCTTTTATTTCTCCCTTATTCTCTCTTATTTATACTCTATAGTGAACAACCTCTTAAACCTACTTAGCTACCTAAAATTATTATTATTATCATTTTTTGTACTTTATTCTATTCCTTCTTTTGTGTATCTACTGGTTCTGAAGACTATTATCACTATGAGTATTACAAAATTGTCCTGTCATTAACCATTATGTAATAATAGTTTGTGATTGTTTTTTTTTGTTCGGCAATATTAAAACTGACAATCTTGTTTGTGAACGCCGTTATCACCATCACCCGTTAGCACCACTCTATATTATGCAGGATTACTCACACTACCACAACAAACACTGCATTAGTGCTGACAATAAAAAAACCCTGAAATGTTATTTTATGATTGTTTAGTGTTGTTCAATCAAATTAACTGATCATCTTGGCTATAAACATTCTTAAATATCATTTCATAACTTCTTGTATGATTATAGCTGTTACTGTTTCACCACGCATACACATATCATAGCTTCCACTACCAAATACTGAAATATTTTTTCATTATTGGTGTTTATTTTCCATTCTACTTCTTGGTATTTTTTCGCTTTTTTTTGAGTTTTTTGTTGTTGTTTTTTATATTTATTTTTTTTGTAATACTCCTTTTAACTGTCCGATGAAATTATATGCAATATTGTAGATATGTGCTGAAAATTCCACACTGTACCACTAGTACTGTTTCTGGAATAAAGCAAAATTATTATTATTAGTAGTGTGTCGGTGGCATAGAGGTTAGGACGCTCCCCGATCACGCACATGGTCCAGGGTTCAATCCCCGGCCACAGACTCACTCCTTTACCTCGCTAAGCCAGAAATAATAATGCTGGTAAAGAGGAAAGGTTGGGTATGAGGCTGGCAACCCCATCCTGTAAAAATAATCACCGTTGCTACAGAAACTTCAAGCCACTAGCTTGAAGGTGCCCTACGCTCCACTGGGAACGTGAAGGAAATATTATTATTATTTATTAATTATTGTTATTATTATTAGTAGTAGTAATATTTTAAAAAGTATTTGCATTTACTTTCAACTTATTTTAATTTCAGATATATACATATTTCTATGGATGATGTTTTTGATACCAGCCTAACCGATACACATTCAGAATTAGAAGTTGCTTCACGTGATTGGGAACGTCGTGCTGCTGAGGTTCATAATGCAGGTGTAAGAGAAGGTTACTTTGCTAGAACTGATGCTCTCTTACAAGAAAAATTTGATACTGGTATTCATCAAGGATTTGGATTGACGTTTGAATTAGCAGTTTTACGAGGAAGATTATCAGTGAAAGCATATTATTCCGTTGGGGAAAATAAATCGAAAATTGAAAATGTTATCCATTTAATAAGTGTTAAAGAGCAAGAGTTAATATCATCAGGGTATCAAGAAAAAGATTCAGCATCATATCAGGAGCTTGTAAAAGAGGCTGAAATACTACTTTTAACTTAACATTTGAGAATTCGACATTCTGTTAAAATTTTGTGCAAATGTTACATTTTTTTTTGTTTTTCTTGATTACTGTTTTCATACATGTTCTCCTATACGACGTGATCTCTAAAAATTTTAGGCCTTAAAAATGTTTGAATGCTGTCAATTTTCATGTGTACATATTATTAGTTTATTATTATTAGTAGTAGCAAAAACGTGTAAATTGTACATCATGAGAAAGGAATATCCCGTAGCAAAATATAATATTTGTATTGAAAACATTTATTTCCCGATACGTATTTAAAACAAGCAACAAAGCAGCTTAACATAGCAGGATTTAATGAATTCATCAAATTTCGGTAGATCTCTTCCTCACCTGAATACTCTACATACACGTATATATATACTTTTGGAATTACATTGGGAGATATAAGACCGATAAGCAAATAAACCATATTGAATTAGTTATGCAGAAAGACAGGTGCGAATGTTTTCCAGGTCATGTTCAAATAGATAAGTGGAGGAAGGGAGTATGAGAGATCAAAATTAAGATAAATTGCATTATGCTTCAATTACATCATTTAGATAAACAATTAGTCATTAGGGAATATAACGAGAATTACAAACAGAGTAATATCAATAGTAATAGTTATAGTAACAATAATATTAATGGTGTTGAAGTGAGTTAAGATAATCCTACTGATAAAGGATAGTTTTAAATGAATCATGAATAATAATAATGATAAGAGGTAGAATAATAAGTAAAACGTATTACCATGGTAGATTCAGAGTCACGACCATCTCCTTTTGTACACAGAGACCTGGTTTATAAACACGAATTGCACAAGCATCCTCCTCAATTGCAAGCATCTTCTTGTTTGTCTATGTCTGCTGACAATAGTGAATGACTTGACAGCGTCGATATCATGTCCGTAATCCACAAGATGTATTGTTATTGAGGATTTTGGCACTTCGCACTCAGCTGTTTTCAACCATTTTGGCAAATGCTCCATCATGCGAGTAGACAATCGCCTTTCTGTACGACCTATGCGTATTTGTTTCCACAAACACACTCAAATTGATATATGCAGTTTGAAGTGTCGAGGATTGGCGATTGGTCTTTCCCAGATTGTTGAAGCACTCGCTTGGTGGTGGTGTTAAGGATAACAAGTTTTGCAGCATAATAAGTTCTCTTGATGGCTTTGTCGAGTCTTCGTTTCACTACTTCCTGTACGTCACCTCCTTTGAATGGCAAATTGATATAGACAGGTTTCTTTGGAACTGTTTGAATTGTTTTGCAAGGGGAAGTTTCTTTAGAGTATTTATTAATGAACTTTTCAGGATATCCATTCTTACATAAAATATCCTTCAGAGATTTTATTTCATGTTCAATAGTACTGTCAGAACAAATTTTTCGTGCTCCATTGATGTAATTGAAGCGTAATGCAATTTATCTTAATTTTGATCTCTCATACTCTCTCTCCCTTTATGGATTTGAACATGGTCCCAAAGGGCTTCCCATTGTGACACCATCAAGTTGACGGAATAGACGCCCATCGAATTGGAATTGGACATTTTTAGTACACAAAAGTAACAATTTCCGTAATTCCGATGTTGGAATGGGTATGTCTTCAGCTTCTTTACATATGAAGTCAATAATCTCAACGACTGGCACATTTGTGAAGAGGGAGGTAACATCGAAAGAGACCAGTTGCTTACCAGATACATTGAAATCTTAAATTTGCTTGACAAACTAAAATGAATCGGAAACCATATACGTTCCGAAACGTTTTCGCAAGGGCGATTAAAACTAAAATGTTTGTGATTATACTCATAGTTAAATGTCAAGTGGCAAAACAAATTAATGTCATATATAGATAGAATTATTCATAGGATGGATAGAACTTGAAAAAAGGGTGTGTGCAATTATAGGATTAGTAGACAAATCGAATAACATAAAAACGTTACGTAATATTGTGTGAAATTTGATAGCATAGAATTTAACCTTGTAAAAAAGAGGAATTGATTTAGGATGGCAAGTGAAAAACCGGGAACATTTCAAACCGAGAATAGTAATAGTAACGGGTGACGTAATAAGGAAGAGTATACAAATTGAATAGACAAAATGAAAAATTGGTTGATTGGGGATTACCGTACTTTAGCATAGAGGGATTAAGACCATGAAAGTTGGAGAGGTTGAACGATCTTTTTCTGTACACAGAGATCTGTTTAGCTTTTCTGTTTCAACAGCCAAAGATGGCTTCAGCGATACAGATGAGTCGGGTACGCATTTACCGCATTTCTAAGGCACTGTATTAGTATTTCGCCGATGTTCTCCCCATGGAACTGCATTTGTAGGAATAAGCCCTTTTATGGAACTGATGGTAATTTGGGCTGCTTTGATTTTAGATTCATATTTCTTATCAATAAACTTTTCTGGATGACCATTTTCACTTAACAATCGTTTAGTATTATTACGTTCCTCATCAAGTCATTCATCCGAGCGAATTGCTCTTGCTCCGTGAACCAAGCACTTTATCAGATTGCGTTTGTATGTCAAGGGTACGAAGCTGAGGAAATGAGTATACTGACCCATTGATTTTAGCCTTCGATATATACACTTCTTCTTGTTGTGCCAGTTACATAGGTCGTGCAATTAGGCGTGTTTCTCGTCGAATTTCCGAACATCACCCTGTGTGGTTGGTTAAGTAAAGGACAAACAAAATCTATTCGTGGAGCGCTATTCTATCTCATCTTGTGGATACAGAACACAAGATTGACGTTAATCATGCTTTCAGGGTTATTTACCGCATACCTAGGAATCTCTATTTCGGCTTAAGAGTTCGACTACTAAATATTGCTGAGGCTGTTGGGATACACACTAAGAAGCCTAATTTATGCGTCCAAAAAAAGCTAGTTCAGACATTATCCTTACCGCTTGGCCATATAGGTTTGAATGATCTTCAACTTTTTTTTATAGAAATTTCTTTAATTTTATTTGATATTCTATTTGCTATTATATCTTTCTAATTATTATTATTATTATTATAATTTAAGCATCTTTAATGAACTGTGGTAATCCCATTGTGATCTTACTTTACAAATTGATATTATTTAAAGAACACTAATATTGTTATTGACTAATATTCTAGAATATTCTGTGTATATAAACATGCATATATAGTTGTACTAGCAGAAGAGGAAATTATCGAAAAGGATGTTCTTTGCTCAATTATTTTGTGTTTTATAGATAATCATTTACTATGAACATCTTGTGCAGTTAGTTTTTTTTCTTCAGATTTTCGTAGGTCTGTAGACTGCAGAATAGCTGGTTGCTTTTGATGATAATTTCCTGACACAAGATTTCTGATGATCAATCGGTTGATTGCTGTTGTAGTTTAGGATTCGGTCGGTGTGTGTGTGCTTGGCTTCTCTGCATATTTTTTGTTTTTTTAAGACCCTATTCTTGTCTCAGCTGGTGTCCGGCATATAGGATTTCATTCTAGTTTTCTTCTCTTTATGTAAACTGAATTCCTTCAAATATTCAATTGATAAACTTGAATTCAGTGAATATTTTCAAAAGAATGGATACTGAACAAAGAATACTCTTTTTGATAACCTCTTCTTCACAAGGCTCTACAGTTATATATACATTATAGTGAATGAATGAATGAATTAGTGTTATGAACAACAACATTAATGTTGCTGTTTAAATAACATCGAATCAATAATACTGATAGATTACAGCTCAGTAGCATCAACATAAAATAAGCTGAATGTCAGAAAGGCAAATTAGGAAAGATAACAATAATACAAATTCATGAATTTATGGTCTCCACTGAAGGCCGGCCAGGTCAGTAGTAGTGGGTGACTGAACTTGCTTCTTTTGCACACAAACTAAAGGTTGTTTCACGCAAATTACAATAGCCTGTGCTCTTTGGAGCATGCGGTATTTCGATGCTTTTGGCAATTTATGGCTGGCAATGGTGGCTGGTTTGGACCATATGCTCTAATATCGAACTGTTAATGGCTTTCGCTACCCCTTTACATAAGCCATACTGGGAGATGTTCTTGAGACAGCACGAAAAATCTAGCAACGGCCGATATAACTCGCTCCACTACAAGCGCAGTTGAATTGGTAGATACAATTTGAGGTGGTTAGCTAGTCTAAGCACTTCATCGTTCAGTCGAGGATTCACCATTGGTCGTGTAGAGAATAGTAGGTGTACTTCGTCAGCATTAAAAGTTCTTTGAACTGATTTTCTTAATTTCGTCGTAATTATCTCACTTGGTATATCACCGTTGAGTTGTAGTTGTATATAAAGAGGCCTCTTGTTTACGGATAGTGAGTAGTCCTTTTCCGCCGTTTTCTTTGTCATGTGTTTCTTGATAAATTTGTCGGGATAGCTATTTTCGCTCAAAGTATCATATACAATGCTTAATTCATTCATCTTCAATTACTTCTCCTGAGCATATAGTTCTAACTCTGTGGCTGAGTGTCTTTACTAAATTTCTTTTGTACTTGATAGGAACGAATCTGTGAAAATGTGTATATTCTCCTGTCAAAGTACTTTTTCTATGCAAATTTCTTTTTATGCTACCATCTAGTTTTCAAAATTGGTTTTCGTGTACTTCAATAACACGTAACTTTGGATGCAACTTTTAGCCATTATGTCTTGAATTAAGTCGCTTCCGACTATCAGAGCATCCTTGAGAAGTAAATTGGATTATGGATCATATTCTACTAAGGCGAATCGTTAACAATGTTTACAGGTTAATGAGGAGCTGAGGGAACCGTGTAAGTGCCACAATTTCGACAGCGTATGGAGACCAGTGAACTTAAGGAAAAGAACAAGAAGTTCTGCAAAGATATCTGTCTTTTCGGCGATTTCATTCTCAAAAGCAGCTGTAAAACCGCATTTATATAGATTATTTTACATGGATACAATTATTATTTGTTTAATTCCATAAAGTAACGAAGGTGATAATAATTTTCAACTTGATATGAATTACAAGAGGCTTAGAGACAAAAAATTACACAGGATTAGAATATAATTGTAAAATTGTTATTCTAAACGGATTACAAGTGTGATCAGGAGGAGCATGGAAACAAACCTAAAATAACTGACTTTATAACTGAAAAGAAAATGGGATGAATTGAGTGAAGGTAAAGAGAGAAAAATACAGACACACAGAGAACAAAACAAAAAAATCTGAAGGATAACAGAACATACCGAACTATGTCCGTGGTAGTTGTAAAG